CATGAATTAGGAGTACTTTGGTTTGGGCTAGCTGCTTCACATCATTTTGAAAGGGAAACGCAAAGACAAAGGGAAAGAAAGACAGTGCTTTTTCTCTCTACGTCTTCTTTTCATTGTGTCTTTGTGCTGCCCTTTTAAAATGAGTAAAGTGAATGAAAGCCGAGAAAAATAATAGGTGTGTGTGAATATTTGAAAGTTTCGAATATTCGGTGAATATTGCATCTGTAATATTTGTATTAGATTCGATAACTACGTATTCGAAAATTTATAATACAGTCGAAACCCGCAATAACCAAACCCCACGAGTACGAAATCCCCGCAGCGAGATATTTTCGGATCCCCGGCAAACGTTCATAGAAGCTCATGTATTACGTATCTCGTGGCAACAAAATGTTTTTGGACAGCGATCCCGCATTAATGAATTTTCTACCACGGTGCGGGCCTTATTTTACCGTCCCGCCAAAGGTTAACTGTCGAAAATATGCTCGTATGCCTGTTATGCTCATTCAAAATTTGTGAACATCTGCTTTTGCCGCTCTAGTGTGGTTACCATCATTTTTGTTTACTATAAGGGAGACGCGGCTTTGGGATCGCGAAAAATGGCAAACAAAAAATCGATTTTATGAAAATCAAGTTTTCAGTTTCTGGAACCCTTTTTCTATCTGATTTCAAAAGATCTACTCTGAAAACCATGCAGAAGTGCTTCGGAAAATCCATTTCACCCACCTAGGTTGGGAAAATTTTTCCGGAAATCACGAGAAAACGGCAATTTTAAAAAAATTATGGCTTCGCGATGGCGGGGCCGGGAGCCGGCTTCTTGGGCTCACCGGAAAGAGCATTTCTCCGTGTTTAACTTTCCTGCCTCAGCTGGCTCCTTCCTTTAACAACAAGCGCACAAAAAGCAAATGTTTGAAGCTCGTTTCGAGACCCTTGATTGGCTGTGGCCACCATGTTGCCTCAGCTCGCCTCGCTGTTGGCCCGATGCTCGCTCCGGGAGATCGTTGTTTGCTGCTTTTGCATCGCGAGGACATGGCTCTCGAAAATTGCTACTTCGTGACGTGTACGCTTTAGTTAGAAGCAGTAGGCGGATGCACAATCAGGTTACTACGAGCGCGGCGCGTCGTCGGAGTCGTCTGTAGCCCTCACTCCGCCAAGAGCGAGACTGCGGGCAGGAATGATGCGCTAGTGCACTCATGGCGACGTGCTTCGTAGCAAGCAACGAAGCTGTAAGCGGCGGCACGGTCAGATTGCTACGAGTGGCCGCACCGGATGCACGATCAGATTACTACGAGCGGGCGCGCAGTCCACGAGCACGGCGCGTCATCAAAGTCGGCTTTAGCCCTAACTCCGCTGACAGTGAGACTGCGGGCAGGAACAACGCGCTAGCGCATCCAAAACAACCCGCGGGTTTTTTTGAGTGCGCTGGACACCCTTCGCTCCTTTTTCGGCTCACATGACGACGACGTATCAATGGACCACTTTTTCCAGTGCGAAGGGAGAGCTTTTAAGTTCAGCAAAGGTCGGCAAAGTAAGTTGACCGACTTTTGGCAATCAATTTTTGTTCTGCTGGCCGTATCACTGTTTTTATGACTCATACTTACGGCAACGAAATTCTCACGATAACGAAATTTTTCGGTTTCCCCGGCGATTTCGTTATTGCGTGTTTCGACTGTATTGGAACTAACTCGAAGATTCCTCGAATATTCGATGTTCACGAATATTCGTTGTTAGGCTTGTGCAATTATTCGAATGCTTCGACTATTCGAACACATATTAGGGTATTCGAATTTGCTTCAGTTCGACTTTAAAAAATTGAAAATTTTGAAGTATTCGCAAGAAACGAATAAATGCGAATTAATCCGAATGTATCTCCTGTAAAGGTGGTTTCACTGCAGTGTAGGAGTGCTAAACGGCGAAAGCACCTATCCAGGAGAAATCCTTTCTGCCGCGAAGCCCTCCTTCAAATTTAAAGGGGCCCTGCAACACCTGTTGAGCATTGTCAGAAGAAAATGCTGCTGATCGGTTGTCAATGCTGCCGAGGACATGCAAGTCAAATATTATAGCGCAGCACGTGGCGTGCTATTCAAAATAAATTTTCAAAGCCAGTTAAAAATTGCTCTCTTCTCTTGGCAAATGACTCCACATGTCAGAAAGCACAGGGGACGTATTTTCTTTCCCCAACTCGTGAGTGCCCTGACCTATGGAAATATATGACACCGGGTTAGGGGTTAGGGTCTGCGCAATCGGATCGATTGATGACTCAAACAGCAGGTGACTAACGTGGCCTATATTTCTGTCTGAAATTTGTGCAGCTAAGGAAATTTTAAGGCTGGTCAGGTATTTTGGTGCAGCAGAGCGCAATTGCACCAAATTTAAGGTTTTGGCGCAGCTCAGCGCAGAAATAGGGATTTGTATCAAATTGGTGCGATTTGCGCAAGTGTTGCACTCTGCATGTTATTAGTTTGGACGTGCTGCGAAACATGGCGATGACGGCATAAACTCGCCGAAAGTGTCCATATAATTGCTGTCGCAATAATAACGCAGTTTTTTACTGTACAATGCGTGTTTTGGGTTAGCTCTGCCTTCAGTCCTTCTTTTGTTTAATTTGCACATTTTCCGCATTTTCGTACCGAATCTGCATATAACGAAATCCTCTTTAAATGAATTTTTCGGAGAATTTATCAATTTCGTTGTATCCAGGTTTAACTGTATACATGCACACTCAGATAGTCAATTCACTATATAACTTGGTTGATATTTAGGGCAACAGGAACAATCAATGCATTTGCACCACAAATGCAATCTCATGCATTACAAAATTTTCAGAACACTTAAGGACTTGAAATATTCAGTAATCATGCCAGCCTACGAATTCTTTAAAATAGTCTTGGAACGCTGCTCTTCAAAGAAACATGGAGACACCAGCGCTGGTTGTTGTTGTTCCCTCCATCGCCGGCTCGTTACGCGACTCTTCTTGCCGCTCTCACCAATTGCCTGATTCTTCGTCGCCGCCTGCTTGTATCAGGCTGTGATCAAGTTCGAGCTTATTCCATACCACTCACGTGTGCGCAGCATAGCGAAAGTCGGGTGGCTTACTGGATTTTTCTAGTATGTTTTGTTGTGCAGACGGAACACATGCCGGTGGCTGCTTCGTTGTTGGCTTCTCGAATTCTCTTGATATTGCCCAGTGTTCGCTTTGACGGTGTGTGTTGTTTCTAGAGGAAGTGAAGTGGTGTATGCTCTGTATAAGCAACTGTTTCTGGCGCCTTCAATGGCCGCGTATGATCGGTCGGCATTGTTTGTTTTGACACACTGTTTGTTTTGACACAAAACACTGAGGCCCGTGTTTTCACACTGTCCACCGATCTTTCGAAGACCGGTCAGCCATCTACCCTGTTTCTGAACGCTGGTACTGTCGTTGGCATCGCCGGCCTGGAGTGACCACACCATTTGCCAACATCGTCGGCCACCGACTTTATCCAATAGTCTGGGTCTAGTGCATGCGCGTATGCTACCATACCAACTCTGATAATTTGCGATTTGTTTCGTGTTTAGGACTTGTTCTCGCTCACTTTGCACTTAGCTCAGCATGCCTTCCACACGTGTGCGGAAGCGCGAAAATGGCTGTTAATTTGCGGGGAACGAATCGCGAAATATCGTAGTTGGTGAGGCCACGCAAACCCGCTAGGGCAACGAAATGATTTTTTGACCACGGCCGCCAATTCTTCAAACACCGCCACGCGCACCGCTGCAGGTGGCCATGCTTTGACTTATGCGCACGCAAGCACTCTTTCCAAGTTTTTCTACGTGCGAGTTTCGCGCTTCTTTCAAGCATGCTACCCAACCTGCCTCCTTCCCGTGTGTTTTGGTTTTCAAGGTCGCCCTCCCGCCGCATCCTCTCCTCTCTTTATCGCAACTCCTTGCCCTCATCTCGCAAGTCTGCTCTCCTCTCTTGATCACAACCTCTTCGCCAGTCTCCACCGCTCCGCGACGCTCGCCACGCTGGCTCGAATCAGTTTCGTTTTCTGACTGGAAACAGGCCCAGAGCTGTTCCATGTGTTCTGGCATGTGTGTCGCGTGTGTGTGTCTTGCTCGCGTGTGTGGTTATGATGGCCGACGGGAGGACTAGCACGCTTTTTCCTGCTGCTCAACAAAACGTCACAAGTGTGACCGCTTGGCTTGAGCGTAATCCGTGCGTTAGGCGCCGCGTTGCAGAGCGCTTGCTCATAGCTGTTGAGCACCTGGCAGCAAATTTGCCGCTTCAGGCATCCCGGTATTCGGCTGTGAAGATGGTGAATATTTCGTGCGAATGTTTGAGACCAACCTTCATAAGCTGCAAGGCAACAAGGCAGCAACTTTGCTGTACATTGCAGTTTGTGTAATAGCGCACTGAATTTTAATCAAGTCTCTGTCATCAGCAAGCATTCTGACCAGCGCATGTGTGAGATCATTGAAGCATTCACCATTATCAAGCGTGGTCTTTCTTGGATCAGTTCAGCGTTGATCCAGTTACCTGACAAGTAAATTGCATATATGCAACATGAATGCCTCTTTTAACTGCCTGTAATGTCTAGTCATTTTTTTTGTCTTACTGTTTATCATGTCTCTTGTCTTTATTTTCTGCCTATATGTTTTACGTTTGTGCATTGAAACCCTGTGTCATGTCCCACTTCTGCGTCGTTTGGAATAACTATGATACCCGGCTTACTAAGAAGACTCCTCACATTTCATGGAAGAGAGACATCCCACTTCCCTTTCCGTAGTGTATTTCTTGTGAAGGGTGCAAAAATCACTGGCCCACAAAGAACCGGCTGCTCCATCTGGGATGAATGATTGAACTTCATTTCAATGGGAATGTGGAGTGCGTTTGTGAGAGTACGAGGTTGCCAATTTGCAAAAAGAAAGATGCTCAACTTGGCAGTTTCTTGAAGGGGTTCCACTGTAAACCTAAATGCTGGCCAGCACATCACTGGAGTTCCCACCATTTACTGTTGTTTCAGGCCCAGCAGAAGGTGACTGAAGAACAGGCAGTGCAACTGCAGAGGCTGCGCGATGAGACAAGGCAGCTGCAGCAGAGGGTGCACCAGCTGGAGAATGAGTGAGTCATAGGAAACTCTCTCTATTATAAATTGTTGGAAGTTTAATGGTGGCATCATGGTCATCATCATCAGCCTGACTACGTTCACTGCTGGACAAAGGCCTCTCCCATGTTCCACCAGTCAACTCGGTCCTGTGCTTGCTGTTGCCACCTCATGCTCGCAAACTTCTTAACCTCTTCTGCCCTCATAACTTTCTGTCTCCTCCTAACTCTCTCTCTGGTAACTGTTCGCCTTTTCTGGGAATCCAGTCAGTTACCCTTGATGACCAGCAATTATTCTGCCCACGCGCTACATGCCCAGCCCATCTCCATTTCTTCTTTTTGATTTCAACTATGATATCTTTAACCCCAGTTTGTTCCCTGATACACTCTGCTCTCTCCTTGTCTCTTAAGGGGGGAGGCTACCATAGGATACCAACTTTTTTGTTTATTGAGATATCTTAATGAAGTTTTCAGGATAGACTTATAGCAAAAGCATTAGAAGAACTACAAAATTTCATCAAGTTATGTTCACTGGTTTTCAAGTTACAGCAGAATATCAGGGTAGTGCACATGGTTCTCTTATTCCAGGCCTGGAGAACTTTCAAAAGGTGCTGGAACTGTGAAATTAACTATGATGATTCCCAGATTGATACTCCAGGGGGTAACAGAGCCCTTTTTTTGAATTTCCTTGCTGAAAAGTTTTAGCAGACCATCAAACTTTGTGTTCGTGATTAGGATATTATCAATCACATTTTGATTAAATATAATAAATAACACACACAATATTGACGCAAGGTAGGCTGGCAACTATAGTAGCCAGCCTCTGAAGAGGACAACGAAGTAGTTTTGTGTGCGCGTGCTCTGGTGTTCGCGTTTCTGGCCCTTGGGTTGCGAAAGAAAACGCCCTATTTTGTACCTGCGTGCCTGTGTCTTTGTGACATTTTCTGGTGGAGGTGCTGGGTACGGTAGATGATACGGTCCCCCTGAGAGCACCCCTGATGCAAGTCCATCGAGTATCTCAGCCGAGCTTACCCCTGTGCACGTACGTTCCAGCCGTCGTCTCCAGGGACTCGAGCCACAGCACGGTTTGCTGCCTGAACGTCAGAGGACTATGAATCAAACACTGCCTAACGTCACCGCGCCAGCACCAGCGCACCTGGTTATCAACCATCCCAAGACGCTGAAGACATTTCACGGAGCTGCTTTTGAAGATGCCGACGACTGGCTCGAGCATTTCAACCGGGTCGCCGTCATCAACGATTGGATCCCAGAGCGTAAGCTACGCTATGTGTACTGCTTCCTGGAGGACTCCGCGAAAACGTGGTTTGAGAACCATGAAGCAGCGCTTACGTCATGGGATGAGTTTCAACAGCAGTTCCTCAAGGCATTTGCCCGAGAGGACAGGAAAGAGACAGCGGAGCGTGCTATAGAGGCAAGGGTTCAAGGCCCTAACGAAAGGGTGACGACCTACGTAGAGGACATGGATCGGCTTTTCAAGCATGCGGAGCCCTCTATGTCCGAATCCAAGAAAGTTCGCCACCTAATGCGTGGTGTTAAAGAAGAGATTTTTGCCGGCCTGATTCGAAACCCGCCTGCGACACTTGCAGAGTTCCATGAGGAAGCCACTGCCATGGAGAGGGCCCTTCAACAGCGTGCCAGACAGTATAACCGTGGTGTAAACCCAAGTGAGGTCACTTCTGTCACTCTCGGCAATGACATCAGCGCGTTGCGAGAGCTTATCAGAGCTCTCATTAAGGAAGAGCTACAAAAGATGCAGGTGACTGCTTCACCTGCAGAGCAGCTCTCCATTGCGGAGATGGTACGCGCCGAGCTACGGCGAGCCGTTCACGCTCCCCAACCATCCGAGGCGCCACAACAGAGGCACTGCGTCGAGATGAGCTACGCGGAAGCAGTGCGACGTCCTCCATCGTGCAGTTCAACCAGCGTATTTTACCCCAATGAGCGACAGGCTCAGCAAATGGAGGTAGGCTTCCGCCCTCGCAGCTCACCGTTGATCGCCGAAGCAAGACCGAGAAAGAGTGACATCTGGCGTACACCCGACCACAGGCCCCTTTGCTTCCACTGCGGGGAAGCCGGACACGTCTACCGAACATGTCCATACCGTCGTGTGGGTCTCCGTGGATTTTCGCCTAATGCCCCTCGTCCACGACCTGGCGAGCGACCACAGGAAATAGAGAGTTTCATCTCTCGTCGCAGTATCGAACATCGGTCACAAGAGCCTTGCTCGTTGTCGCCTGCTCGCTACAGGTCACCGAGCCCAGCCTATTCACGCGGCGCTCCAAGACGCCGTTCACCCAGTCCTGCAAGTCGGGAAAACTGAGTTCAGCGACCTCCGGAGGTGAGGCCGCTGACGCTGACTCTACGGAAGATCCTCCACTACGACGACAGCGACAGCAGCAAAAAGATGTACAGACGCAGTCAAACATGATGCGAAGAGTGGTTACATCAAACATTGCGGTAACTGTGGACGACGAAGAAGTAATGGCGCTAATTGACACTGGAGCAGACACTTCTGTTATGAGCATGGGTCTTGCCTGCAGGCTGAAGAAGGTTTCTACCCAGTGGGCTGGGTCGCAGATACGTACGGCAGGAGGCCATCTTCTTACTCCGGTGGGGCGGTGCACAGCGCGAGTCAGTATTCACGGATTTACGTATCTCGGAGATTTTGTAATACTGCCGAGTTGCTCGAGGGACCTAATTCGCGGACTGGACTTTCTGCGTGATAATGGAGCCGTGATTGATTTGCAACAGTCGCAAGTGACGTTTTCTACGGCACACGCTTTAGCGCGCAACCCTCACGGCAGTTACGTCAATGCTTTGAGAATTGTTGTCGATGACGTCACGTTACCGCCGAAGAGTAGCGTGTTCACCGTGGTAGCCTGCGACGTTTTTGACGAATTCAACGACTATGAAGGTATTGCTGAGACAAATATCCCGCTGCTGCTCAAACGAAACATATGCATAGCCCGATGCCTTGTTCGGTTAGAGAATAAACGCTCTCGAGTTCTGCTGACCAACTTCAGCAATGAGTTTCAGCACGTTCCTAGAGGGACCACTGTCGCTTTCCTCAGTGAAATCGCCGACTTTTTCGATATCGGCACATTGGATACGACTTCACCGCATGCAAAAGCTTGTGCTGACCTGGGAAGCCGCATTCACGTTAATCGAGACTTGCCAGATTCACGAAAAGAGCGGCTGCTAAACCTTGTGAGGGAATTCTCGGACTGCTTCTCCACAGCATCGAAAGTTCAGCGTACCACCGTTACAAAACACCGCATTGTTACCGAGGAGTCGGCACGGCCTCTTCGCCAACATCCATACCGTGTGTCCCCGAAGGAAAGAGAGGTGATTAAGCGTCAAGTTCAAGAAATGCTGAATGATGACGTCATCCAACCCTCGACAAGTCCGTGGGCGTCACCTGTTGTCTTAGTAAAGAAAAAAGACAACACACTACGCTTCTGCGTCGACTATCGACGGCTTAACAAAGTCACGAAACGCGACGTTTACCCCCTGCCACGGATTGATGACGCCTTAGACCGTCTACGCCACGCCCAGTTCTTCACATCACTAGATCTCAAGTCAGGGTACTGGCAAATTGAAGTTGACGAGGGCGACCGTGAGAAAACTGCGTTCGTGACGCCTGACGGGCTGTACGAATTTAATGTGCTGCCTTTCGGTCTCTGTTCCGCTCCCGCCACGTTTCAACGCATGATGGATACTGTACTAGCTGGACTAAAGTGGCAGACGTGTCTTGTATACTTGGATGATGTCGTTGTGTTTTCAACCACATTTGACGAGCATCTTTCAAGGCTAAAAAGTGTCCTCACTGCAATAAGGAGAGCGAACCTTACCATCAAGTCCGAAAAGTGCTACTTCGGCTATCAGGAACTCAAGTTTCTCGGCCACGTGGTTAGCCCGGGGGGGTGTTCGACCAGATCCGGAGAAGTTGGCTGCCGTTGCCGATTTCCCTCGTCCTGGAGACAAAAAGGCTGTTCAGCGATTCCTCGGACTCTGTGCGTACTACCGCCGTTTTGTCGAAGGATTTTCGAAAATTGCGGAACCTCTTACAAGACTGACACGGCCAGATGTACCTTTCGTATGGACAGAAGAACAACAACAAGCCTTCGTAGAGCTCCGCAATCGACTGCAGACAGCTCCAGTGCTGGCACATTTCGACGATACTGCCGACATCGAGATCCACACAGACGCCAGCAACGTGGGAATCGGAGCCATTCTAGTTCAATGGCAGAACGGCGCAGAGCGTGTGATCGCTTACGCGAGCCTCTCACAAAAGCAGAGGCTAATTACTCTGCCACCGAAAAAGAGTGTCTAGCAGTCGTTTGGGCCATTAGCAAGTTTCGACCCTACCTATACGGCCGGCCATTTCGAGCGGTCAGTGACCACCATTCGCTCTGTTGGCTTGCCAATCTACGGGATCCATCAGGCCGCCTCGCCCGCTGGAGCCTCCGCCTTCAAGAGTACGACATAACGGTGGTCTACCGATCGGGACATAAGCATACAGATGCTGACTGCCTGTCTCGTGCTCCTATTTCCCCGACGTCATCTGACACTGAACAAGATTTACCGTTTCTTGGCATCGTCGATGTGGTGCGGATGGCTGAGCTTCAACGTGAGGACACTGAGCTACTTCCTGTCATCCAGCATCTTCAAGGAGAAGACGTTATCGTCCCACGCCGACTCTCGCGTGGTTTGACTACATATTGCCTGCGGAACAATGTTCTCTACAAGAAAAATCTTGAGAGCAGCCAGGAAACTTTCCTCCTCGCCGTTCCAATAGGACTGCGTGAGGAAGTTTTGCAGGCGTGCCACGACGATCCTTCAGCCGGTCACTTAGGCTTTGCTAGGACATTAGCGCGCATCCGACAGAAGTACTACTGGCCACAGCTGTATTCGTCCGTTCAGCGCTATGTCCGCACCTGCCGTGACTGTCAGAGGCGTAAAGTTCCACCCGCAAAGCCCGCCGGTTTCCTCCAACC